TAAATCTACAACTGAATTTTATTGAATGCTTTATAGATATTAAATTTACTAGTAGAAACATTTTCTCTATTTCTTCCGAAAGTTTATTTTGCGTCTTTTTATTTCTTCTGCCAGATTTCATTTTTGAAAACAGCTTATTCAGTTTAGTTCCATATTTCACTGTAAGCTTGATAATACCACCGGGTTAGTTATATTGGAATCGCGTCTCATCCAATTCGTCATAAATCATGTCTATCACTTAGAGTGAATGATCTATACATGTCGTCATTTTTATTTTAGTTCAACAAGTCATTGTTCCTCATTCAATCTTAAAGGAAATCCATCTTAAAGTAATTCAATGATCAGTATTGCATCCAACTGATAATTCTTTGAAGGTTCGAAAAGGTTTTTTCAGAGTTATCACTTAAACGATGAGAAGACAGTTTATTAAAACTTTCTTTATAACAGCTTTTAAGGTAGCTTTATATTCTGAAATACTTTATATCATAATTCTATATTAACTATCTGTGTTTGCAAATAATTATTTACTAAATTAAGTATTTATGAGATTCACCTATTTCTTCTATTGATAATATTACGTTTTAGAAAATGTATTCCGATTTTGAACTTCAAGGTATAAGCCCAGATGCATTGGATACAATGGCTTACAAAACAATTATGCAAAGACTTCAAGTATGCTATCTCATTTTCACATAGTATCAGTTGTGATTGTTTCTTGATATAAATTTATTTTACTGTTTGGTTATCTTTAGTAAGGCGTTGTGGAGATTGTTGAATTTCATTTAAATCATGAACTAATCTATGTTAGACCACCACTGGAAACTTGGAAGCACTAGACGACCGTTTTGTCCTAGTATGAAACTCCTCACCAGTGCGAATCAAACGAAGGTTCTTCGGCTTCACGCGCGAACGATCAACCTCTAGGTTAAACCACTAAGTCAGTATCCAACGGTGTTAACGTCTAACTTTAATAATAATCACTTGTTTAATATTTTCCAAATGCAATAATTAATTTCTTTGATATTCAGATATTTCAAAAGTTTGTGTTTGGATTAAGTGCAATTATATCCTCAAGATTCAGGGTATAGTAAAGTTTTTTTGGTGCCATGAATTATTTTACCCACAATTGAGAATTTCTACTTCGTCAGTTACATCACGGTTATCGCATGATATTAAATTACAATCGAGTTTACCAGGATTTCTCAAACAATTTATGGTAATATTATAAAGATGATCTTGAAACAAACGGGAATTTTAGCCAGCTGTTTGTTTGTCAGGTGATAGCTTTTGTAAAAGGGTAGTTTAAGGGAAATAAACAACAAAATTATAAAGGGTAAATATATTCTAAATTATTGATGAATTTTTTAAAGCTTTCTGTAGATTGTTTTGCCTGTAAATCCAAAACCAATAACACCTAAATCCCTCCAAATGTTTGTCGATTATCTGTCCTATCAAACTCATGAAGACGCAGATTTCTTGAATTTTCATCATTACTCCTGGCTAGAATTGTGGATTTAGGGTAAAGGTTAAATGTTAAGGGCTCAAAGTTAGAATTTAGGGACAGGATTGGTATGTTACATAAAATCGAGCATTCGATACATTTTACATCATCACTTCCACTCTCTGGTGGTAAAAAATTTCTTATTATCACTTTAAGCATTTTTAGTGCTGCTTAAACTTATTTATTCTGCTTTCTCTACGTGTTATAAAACAAAGCTTATTCCTTTTTGAAGCTGGTACTGAAGCCCAAAAATCGTTTTCTCAATTCTGACCTCACTCTTACATTATCCTTTCGCCCAACAATCTATAGTTCATTCACTTGAAAAGATTTAGGTTAAGTTTATATAACCTATATGGATTAATACTAGGCTACTAAGAACTACCTTTTATCTGGCCTTTAATCATGAATTAGCCAAAGGTAGGTTATTTCAAAATGAATATATTGATGATTCCTAGAATCCTATACTTCTTCAAAAAGTGGTAATTTATTCATGGCTTCAATTATCTTTATGAGGTCATGTTTAATATGATGAGATATTCTTCACTTTTTTACTTGCAGAATTAGAGTGTACACTAATTATACCTCTTCTTTCTTAGTTTATATGCTCTTTCAATGTACTTATTTACTTTGTAATATTTATTACGATAATGTTTTTATATGAATTCCAAGGGATTCAAAAAAATTCATCTTATTGCTTGTATAGTGACTAGCAAAATGTAAATACCGATCAACATGAAGCACTAGACAGGTAAACATGTTGATTACTACTCGATGATTTGTCAGTATAAACTATCTACTTTATCGTTTCACAATGTACATAATGAAGTTTACACAAAGAAGAATAAGACGGAATAATATCCAGCCGAATCTAAGCACGTACAGAAAACAGTTGGTCTTTTCTAAAAGAAAAAAACTATAAATTTATTTATTAAAGAAAAAGTAACTCTGACATCACAATATATTCTTCTCATTGAATGTTTATCATTCAACATCTTCCGCTGATAATACTATTTATGTTATGTGATGATCATGTAACATAAAACTATTGCTTCCAATTAGAAAAATAAGCTTCTGAAAACATAACCATGATTGTTGTTTCATGATAAACTTGTTAACAAGTCTTCAACAAGTAAAATCTTCAATATATATTCTTTACAATATTCAACGTTAGTTTTTAAAATGAGTCTATGATAAACCTTAAGGGAAAATAACGATTAAGTAAACTAGTTCCTAAAGAGATGGATATAACTTTGTTTGAGTGAAATTGTGTTCCTTGTGTTCTATGCAGAAGAATAATAAATTTTTCACTATTTTTATTATAGATGGAAGAAACTGCTCAAGCTGTTCGACCTGATATAGGAAGTAGTCCAACACGATCGATACTTGGCACAATAACAGGCAGTCTAAGTGGCATTCCCAAACCTGGATTCCTTAGTAAAATGTAACAATTATAAGAAACAAGACAACAAAGCACTGTCAGCTCGTCCTTCAATTCACATACACATAGATAGGAGTTTTATGTTAATTTTCAAAGACTGCTGTGAATTGTTCTTTTCCTGTCTTTTATTTCCTTATATTTTTTGCCAACTATTTATAGTTATTTCCATACAAAATTAAAAAATAAACTCGACGTTGATAATTTTGTGTCATTCTATACATTGAATTTCTTTCATTGAAAAAAAATCTTTGGAAAACATTTTATCTTAAGGATTTATTAAAAAAAAAAACAAAAAAAATCAAACTTTTCTAATTCTTTGATTAATCATCAGTGAACTGCTAATGTGTACTTGTTTGCTGGAAAACAAAACAACAGTAGGATTTAATGGATTTAGAAATACTAACAGAACTGTGGAAAGTTTGTGATGATTTTATTAGTAGAGTAAACCATGGATTAGACACCTTCACATTGTGTGCTTCTTTTCCTTAATAATAAATTTTATCTTTTAATTCATTGTTAACTTTATTTCAATTACATGTTCAAACAATAACATCAATACAGGATGTGTACTATTCTCTGTATGTGTATATGACTCGAAACTATCTTAAAAAGTGCTTTTATGAACAGAATTCTCTGGTATTCGTGGCTGTGGTATTGATGAAAACGACAGCAACAAGAAACAGATTGCAACACAAATTACTGCCAACTACCAATTCATCTTGTAAAAATTCATGCCCTTCCCTCTCTTCTAACAATATTCACTGTAGCCTTGTATAAAGAATTATCAGAACAAACAGAAACCAGTTAACAAAAACGAAACTGGACTTTATTCACTCAATATTAAATACAGATAATACTTATTATTTTCTCTTTGATGATTCAGTATTTTTTGCAAACATTTCATTTTTATTACAATTCTATATTAACATAAGAAATACATTTATTCTCATACAGCGCGTGTAATGAATTCTTGCAAATGTAAGAAAAAATATATTTTATTATCACTAAAATGTTAGTTGATTCAACTAATTTGAACCCTGCTGATATCACAACTCGATAATGATAACAAACTGTATTACTGATCATTAAGTTTCATTAATTTCTTTACTAATAATATGCATTATAGAAACTAAAATAATCATTTTTTTATTGTTTGCTCTCTGTAGTTAAAGCAATCTATTATGCTCAAGAACGAGTACTGTTTTAACTATACAATCGTTATTGTTCATGACAACCTTACTCATTATTTGATTACTCTAATATATCATCATACAGATCAGTTTATTTTCACTGATATGTTCTTTCTCGCTTTGAATATACAGTTTCCTTCATATTTCAAGAATACTACTTACTAATTACTATCGTATACATGCAATGGTTTTTTTCTATTATGGAGAGGGATCTCAAAGTTAACGAGCAATATTGCCAATAATGATTATCTTTCTATAACTAGTCTTATAATCATGATTAATGGTAATTTTATTAAATTTCTCAGCTTTATATATATATAACATAGATAGTACAGTTATTTGGTAATTTTTTGCTACTGTCACTACTACTCCTTGTAGTGGTAGCAGCGGTAGTTCTACTAGTATGTAACTGGGACTTCCTTTTTTTCTCATTTTTTGGAGGTGAAATAAAAAGAATACTATTGTGATAATTGTTTGTTGATTTCTTTCACTACTTATCAATTCTGGGTCTCGAAAGTAGGAAAAGTAGAATTCTTTTGGTGTACACGCTTCGTATATGCCTCCAAGCTAGCTGTCGGAGTGATACTATCAAAAATGAGTAGGAAGCTTTTATTGGCTAACCCAATCGAAAATGCAAGCACAACTTATTCGCAGATATATAGATACATGTTCTTCAGAAAATTAAATCGCATTTCTAACTAACAGTGTATGTTCGTTTCTGCAGAACGGTTAGCCAATTCTTGACTAGTAGTGCGCGCCCGTCAACATTTCTCACTTATTATTTGGCTTATGTCTGGTTAACCCAACGTACCCGAAAGATAAGTCTTCATTTTTGGATCCAACTGCATGAACTCATGTAGGAATACATCAATAAGAGAAAGCAGTAATATTTACTAGTAGACTCACACAATATAGATAGTATCTCTTGTGAAGACATTCCGTATTCATAAAACAAAGTAAGCAATTTATAGAATCAACGTGCTTTACATTTATAAATGATTTGGAAGATTGTACAACATATCATATATGCTTTTAACAGTTTTTTCTAATACTAGCAAAGTTTTTACTCATATGTAGAGGAAAAATAATCATAAAAAAGGTTCGGTGAAATTAATATATCTTCAAAATGCTCATTGTTATAATTAAGCAATATTGGGTTGACAACTGTTTCACTTTATATGCAGAAGTTTTCTGGATTCCAATCTACTAAAAATAGTGAATACAAAGTAATATCTTCGGGTAGTGTACAATCGCACTTGTAAACTATCTGGAACCTGATCTGCAGATATGCAAAACATTCTAAGAGGAATAGATAGATCTCGCTTACTTCCTAACATTATGCGGATTTGTAAGTACAGTTGGGAGGGACTTTGGGTAACTGAGACTGCACAAATAGTGTAAGACGTGGTGTTGAGTTCAGTGTCGAAGCTTGATTAGTTCGTTCTGATCCATTATTTTCCTAAGTAGAGACTGAGAGAGCTATACACTGATAATATTTAGTAATGGTCGTATGATACAAGGTGGGAGATATGAAGACGTTAATCATCATATTTAGAATCATTAGATGAGTGTTGCCCGACTTGCTTCAAACCAAGTTTTAATTGAATACCATCGGAAGAAGTGAGTAGGAATTTCTGACGTTTTATATTTGGATTGGACGGCATTCCTCATTTCTCAATGGTTTTGCGATTCATGTTGTTTAGTGATAAAATCTTCAAAATACCTTAACAATTAGAATTTAAGAAAGTAACTAATTAAATTTCATATACTTTTTTCTTAAAGTCTTTTCGAAAAATAAGTTGTTTTCGAATAAAATAAACTACTTTCATTCGAAATAACCGGTTCTGAATTCTCTGATAGTATCTGTTTTCATTTCAATGAAAAAAGATGTCCATATTACGAGAGAAATAGATGCAAATCTTATAATATATGGGTTTATCGATGAAATACAACCTGGTACTTTTTGATCAGAAGTTAACTGTTCTTTAAGGAACTTGCAGTAATCTTTGCGTTATTTTTCTGAATATTTATAAGAATTTCACTCAAACTTAAAACTGACTAATCACACGACCGAATATTTCTCACGTCTCCAGATTATCAATAAATAAAGGTTTGATGGATAGCTGATGTTTTAAAATTGTTAACATTGACATGGAAATATAATTTGAACACATTAAGTTTCTCAACACTGTCTAGTTCAGATTACATGAATTCATTAATTATCACAATTCTGACGATTTACACATTGAAACACTCAAGTGCAACTATGAAAACAATTTTTTTTAAATCTCAACTTATAAATATTTTATGCAGAATTAGTACATCGTAAAATAAAACTTATGATTCAACATATATTTTTACAACCATCATATCTAACTCTATCTACGAACACGTTGCCTTGTAATTTAAGTACCGAGTCACTGATATCTACACATTTGTATTTCAGCTATTATATAAATATGTCGTTTTAAAAAAAACTGGGTTCTCTGGAAATAGTTTTAATGTATATTTATGGAAATCCGGGATAAATTAATTTCATGTATACATTAAATTACGCACTAAGTGCAATCACTAACTCTGTGAACTCGTGCTATGTAACAACTCCTTCTCAAATTTCTTGGCCTTGAAAAGTTCAAAATCTTTCTTCTTATCGAAAAAATCGACCTGAGGAAAACACAAAAAGAAATATAAAGAAAATGCATTGGCACAATAATGCAGTCCTATATATATATATATATATATATATATATATATATATATATATATATATATATATATATATATATATATATGCTCTCACATGGCCACGCGTATATAGCCTCTGCCAGGGAAGTCCTACTCACTGCCTTCTCGTGGCGGGGGTGTTGTTTACGAAAATGACAGGACGAAAAGCGAATGTCCGGCGCTTTAACCAGATTCCAAACCAATGGTGCACATGGGCTCCAGTATCCTGCGGGAACAAATGGCGTATGAACCAATCGTTGGTCACCGGCTTCCATGGGACTGCATCTCCTTACGATGCTCCACTGCCTTGTGGATCAGGTCGAAGGTTCGGGGAGTGGCCCGCTAAGAAAACCACGTGCTTCGGTTTGGGCACCCGGTCAGTATCACAGCCCCCACACATATCGAGTGAGATTTGTGTGGCGCATATGTATTTGGTGCCTCTTTGTACCAATATCTGTGTTGAAATAAATAAATGATATCCCGACGAGAATAACGAATGGTAACAGTTGGGATCTATTCATAGACTAATACTATACATATATTTTTATTGTATAATTGTTAATTAATCAAACTATGTAGATTCATATTCCGCTTATTATAAGCTTTTATTTGACCTATAGACTATCATTATACGATTTACGATTCTTAAGTTATGCCCAGATTATTAATTACAGTCTCCCACAAACACGGCCTTTTTTGGCTAGATCTTATGCATATGTTATTTTCTATTTTATGGTACGATGTGATCTGTTTGGTTTGTACATAAACCCAGTATGTTTGAAATATATGATTCCTATCGCGGAGGCTGAGATCGGTGTTCTGGTCTCAAAAGGCGGGGCTAAGCAGAAGGACCGATAAGGACTCTAAACTGCTCGTACGGGTTTATGCGTCATTGGGTACAAGGCTACAAGTTGTAACTATATATATGACAATTAATTGAACATAAAAGTTGGAATATTTATTACTTTTATGTATTCATTAGTTTTTTGTTTCTCTACAAATAGTTATCACTAATTGATAACACTGAGAACTAAAGATTATCAAACAGTTATTATTGTCATATTCTAAGACTTGCTAACATTCTACAACTTTATCTCAACATATAAGTTCAAATTAAGGTATCCAGAGATTATCTGATAAACTACGATACCAATTATTTACTATGATAAAGATCGAACACATGGCGCTTTCCAGATATAATCAACTAGTGAACTGTTTAAAGTTATTACTGGGCATCTTTAGTAAAATCAAAAGAAACAAAATAACAAAGAAAACGTATGTTTATTAAATTGGTAACTTTAGAAATTTAGGTTTTTTGGTACTAAAGTATTAGTTTGAAAATGTGTATGTTCAGAAAAAGTAGAGAAGAAATAAATAGATACTATGAGGCTATTTGTTTCCAATAGTTTATGATGTGGACAATATAATTCTTCGGAATTATGAATATGAAAACTTCATCACTGATTAGTATCTGAATATAAAAGCAACTCATAAAGTCTAAATGGTTGTCTAAGGTCTGAACACTGTTGTAATGAACATACTATATATCTTTCAATATCTAAAGAAATGTCCTACATAAATGCTCTACATAAATAACACTGATTATCCATTCAGTATCCAATCAACATTTCGATTTTTGTGGATATGAAAAAATTGAGAGACATCCCATAAACTATGTAGTAGACTTAAATCACAAATAGGCTTATTATCAAACTAACAAAAAACACCATCCATGAATAAGAAAGAAAAGAAAATCAGTCACAATTTATGTGCTGGATGTGAAACAATTAGACAATCATGAAATAAATATACCAATGACAACAAATTTCACTTAGGTTGTCTGTTAATATAAACTAATCTAATAAGAAGTCTCATACTTTGACTACTCATAATTTCATCTGAATTTAAATCGTTAATCGTGAAGGCTTAACGTTCAATATTTAACGAATTGACAATATATGAAAAGTTTATTTGTGACCACTGAAATTGGTTAATAAAATCAGAAACCACCGTTTTTGTTCAGCTTTGGACTCGAGAGCAGTGAAAAAATATGACACTTTACGAGTTCTTATCTGAAACAAATGTTTTGTCTAAATAGAAGATAGTGTGCTGAATAGTGATTAAATCGAATATCCGCTTATATAAGTTCCACTGAGGAACTGTTACCTGAAGGATTTTAATAATGCAGAGAAGAAATCAGTTATCTATGACAGTAACGAATGATTATAGCCCCACATAACTAACTGACTGAAGTTAGAAAGTTTAAACCATTCGTTTCTGACTCACATTGAATGGTACTGTATTCATTACGTGATTAACAAATTTTAGGTTTAATCCTGTGTAGGATCTTTGATATAAATTTATGGTAAGTTTTCTCAGACAGTTTCACTTTACGACAAAAAGTATGTTCTGAGCTCAGCAGTAGATTGTAATTTATTGTTAAACAATCAGTATATTCAAAAATCGACGAAATAACTTCTTTGGAGAAGTCTTAAAACCTCTAAATAATTATGATTGTGGCGTATGCTACTTATGTCTACATAAGTAGTATATCGATTAGTAGTACAATGCCTAGCAGCAGATGGTTGGGAAGATCGAATCGAAGAGAACGAGAACAGAGAGTAATTGTTATGGCAATGAAGGAACGATGACATTTGAGACAACTGATGGAGGATTTGCAAATGAAGTAGTGAACGTATGGTTTTCACATTTTATCAAACAACTCTGTAATTTTGCATTAAAATACAGTTAGTTACCCCCACCTGTGTTTTCGTTCATTACATAATGAGTAAAGAAACCTTTCAGGAAATATCATTTTAGTGATAAGTCAGTTGGACTTATCAAAAAAATAAATAACTCAAATTTATTTTGATGATGAGAAGTAAAACCTAAATCGATTGAGGAATACGATATACAAAAACCAACTCTAATGACCTATTTACTGAAACATGAAAGTATTGGCCATTAAAGTTTTCATATCAATTTCAAGGTTAAATCGAGATAGCTAATAGCATCTAAGTTAGATATACATGAATGCATCAACTGAACAAGTGAATATACCAAATGATGACTCAGTAGCTAAATGGATAACGCGATGGCATTTAAAGCGAACGGTACTGGGTTCGAATCCCAGAGTGGATATCAACTCTGGGGTGCAGGTAGATACAGCTGACGAGTCTCAAATCGGACGAAACAGGGGTCCTAGATTCCACCGCTAGCCACTATCCATCTTTGATTACAAAGCTTGTGACTTAAGGTAATATCGAAGTAATCCGCTCAGGATGTACATATGCCAACAAGAGACTAATCAATTGCATTCCTGAACAACAATTGGAAACAGGAAGCAAACAACACCAAGTGAATTCAAATGATATAATCTTTAAGAAAAACGCTCTTGAAACCTCCATAGTTTAGTTTCATTTCAATTACTGGGTAATTGGTACAATTCTCACTCTATTTACTAAGATACAAGTAACCATGTAGTGATTATTAGTCTATTTATATGAACCTGTGTATGTGGTTGCTAAGTGAAGTTAAATAATTAAGAGATCTCAAAACTCAATCATACTAACTTCTGTTACGGTCTTAATTGAATAAAGAAAAAAAGACTAAAATGTTGCTGATGATTTATAAATTAAAAAGTATTTTCATCCAATTTAATGTAGAAGTGCAATATACACTGTTTCATGCTATAATATTTAAAATAGAGACTAAGATTGAGGAAACCACCACTTCAGCATCGAAAGATTAAGTTACAAAATTTAGTGGTCAGAATTTTAGAAATGCTGATGTCATTACAATATTGATAGTTAAAACATAGAACAGAACAGTACAATTGCTTGTTGGAAGCTTAGTTAGAAAGAGGTTTCCCATCATAAGCAAATATCAGTTAGAATAATAAACATCAATGAGCACTTATTTAGTTGTAAGCCTACATAAAAGAATAAACTAAGAAACCTGTGATAAACTGATCAGTTTATAGTAGGTAGAATATTTTAACTGCAAACTTCTGGTTTCTTAATAACTCTATGCTGGAGATCAACATCTTCTGGAAAGATTAAAATGAACAATTAACGACTTAAAATTCATGTACCTTGAAACCTACTTTCGTATTTTAAATTTATCTAGCACATATGACTGAATTATACAGCCAGTAAGTGGGAATTTCGCACACATCAAGTAGCTCCATCAGTGGAGATTGATAATACTGTAGAATGCCTTACTGCGTTCATTAAAGATCACTAATGCTGCTGATCATGTTAAGAATGACAATTTTACATGACGTCTCCTTGATTGAATGCCAGAAGAAAACCCTCTCAGTAAGGGAATGCTAAATGAGCATGAACATGTTATGTGTTCCGAAAGTCCGACATAACATGTCTGGATACCACCAGTGGGTGAAAAGTACAAACGTGGCATAACATTGTGAATTACTCACCTATCCAAGGTTATTGCTTTCAAATCATTATCCGAATTGCATACAGTTTATTTGGACCTGACAATTAAAGCTTCTCTATTGTTTTCAGTCCTTTCAAATGCATAGCAGTTGGGATAAGTGCCTAGCAAGAGCGAGTATTTTGTAACCGAATCGGGCAAGCAGACTGTAGCGCAGATGAAACATTACAATCGGACAAATACACTCAAAAAACGCAAGTGAAAAAACTATAACCTAATGGCTGAAATTTAAGTCTCCAAACTATAGAGAAACAAGTCGGTGTTTCCATCACACCACTGTGATAAGTCAGTAACAGAGAACATTGAGAACATCACGATTACATCCTAATCACACATTGGTACAAAACACAGAAGCAAAAACAAGACTATCTAATGACTGTAAATTAATGTATTTGTAAACATTCATTGAACCCGAGTCATTTTTTGAATTGATCCTTCGCAGGAATCATAAAACTCGACAGCTTACATGACGGATAACCTGCGTAACGGTATAAAAGTAGATTGGAAAAATGTGAAGATGGCTAGACCAAAATATGATATCAGACATTTGAATGAGCCGTATAGGAAGGTGTACACTTCCTAGATGCAGTCCACAAGATAACAATAAGTTTTCCCATATTCATTTTAGCTAACCAATATTGTTATTAATATTAATGAAACATTTTGCCATATCTTTTACTGGTTTTTTTGTCCATATGATATAAAATGTGGCAGACTAAAAAACATATATTTATGTCGATTCCCGTGGTGTGTCTGTTTGAATTATAATTCATCTATATGTGAGCTTGTAAGTATCTAAAAAGGAAACAATGAATTATAATTAATTAGCTACGTACTGTGCTTAGACTCGTAAGATCAGCTGAATGTATGTAATCTAACTACTTCTGGAATTCGAAAAATCAAATACCATACAGTGAACTAACCCATATTCGTGGACACATTTCTTCGTAAAGTTTTCTTTGTTTGGTACATTGTTTTCTTATCAACTTGTCATCAGGTTCTGAATTTTTCGCGATTACATCAGTAACACATTCCCAAAAAGCATCACGTGATTTCCAGCATTTTTCTCTTTTAGATTTAGATATAAAATCTGTCGAGGTTTGCATAAGAGCGGCTAAAAGTTCATATAAGAAAATCTGTGGTAAATCACTTAAGTAATTAATATTGATTAACTGATTAAATAACAAAATTTCCCAATAATGCAACGAATAAAATTAAATCAACTCAAAGTGTATATGGATGAGCAGTATGATTGGATTAAGTATTTTTCCAGATTAAAAGACACAACTTCTGTTTCAATTTTATTAAGTAAAGTATAACGAACAAGAAACACGTCCCATCTGAATCCCTAATATATGTATGAAAGTAGAAAGACAACGAAAGCCTTACAACTAATCCAACCAGCTCAGAAAATGCGATTTCAACAGAAAGTATTGAAGAGCTATTGTTTTCAGAGTTTATAAATCACCGAAAAATGTACAGTATAAACTGGTAAACGATATCTACTAAGATGAGGTTCTAACATGGTACACTCCTAGTGGAATTTCATTATTTCTGAAAATTCATATTTACAACAAATTAGATGGCATCCAGGATGATCTAGCATAACAAAGATCGTATATTGTTTACCCATTCTCTTGAAATATTCACACACGGATATCAATAACGGTCAACCACACTATGATTATAACATAGTGAATTGTTTCATGTAAATGATATGCAATCTCAAAGAAGCGTCGCAACCTAGATTTATAATTTCCTCAGTACTAGTGTAGTGAACGAGAACACAAGTGGGAAAGTCAAATGTATTTGTATAGAAAATTACAGAACGTTTTAGTAAAATCTGAGAACTACACAGTAAATACTTCATTCGCAAAATGTTAATCAATCGTCTCAGACCTAATTGTCTCTTCGTTTCCACACCAATCACTCTCTGTCCTCATTCTCTTTTCTTTGATCTTCATAACCTTCTGCCTCCAGGCATTTCACTTTTTATGGATGATACATACCACACACTACACTAGTAGTCACCTGATGAATTAACATTTACATCGCGAGACAATTATACTGTTGATCGGATTGATTACAAGATATTTTGATGATGAGTATTATCAAAATCGAAACTACCATCCCACGGACATAATATTTAAAGATGAATCATTTTTTAATTGTCTAGTGTTGTCGACAGGTTTTCTATTCGAAATCGCATAACCAAGAAAACATTATGATCTTTGGAACAAAATGAGGACAGATTAGGTTATTTCTAAGTGCTTATGTCACTACCTACTATATTCCACTAGCATATAAGGCACTTTCGCATCCACAATTCTATAAAAATGACAATGACGTCCAATAACGATTGTCTAAAGAATCTTTGCAACGGATAAAGTGCAGTGACAAAAGCATAACTCAATGGAAGTAAAGACCGTGGTATCGAAATTTGGCACTATGGTCTGAGATACATATTGAGTGATCACCAGAAACGTTAGTTGTTAGTAACTTCCAATCTCTTGAAAAATTACTAATCCGATATAGTACTTGATTTTTTGCAGTAGAAAAAGAGATTAAGTGTTGATAAAAACGTAGCAATCAATAAGTTAATCAGCCAAATCCAATGTAAAATTTGGTACATCACTATATCAGTAAACATTCCCACACCACGTCACAAAGAGAAAATGTTATCAAAATGAATGTCAAAGCCATAAAAGTAGCAACAGTATCAGTGATAGTATAAAGAAATTAGGCATAGAGAGTATGATTCGAGAAAGATGCATAAAAGGGATAAAATAATTTTAAAACACAGGATCTTAGGAAAGATAAAGAATGAGTGGGTGTGTATCACTGCAATCAATTCTGAGCCGTGTGATTCGTCTCAAATAGCTAGTTATGATAATTGAGTGGACCTCAGCAAGGTAATCAGAATTTACTAACATGACTTAGTCTTATGGTCAATGACCTCACGGACCGCTGCGAAGTTTTATTCTGAACGCTCCTAGTTTTCTTCCAACTCGCTCCTAGGTCATCAAATATCATGAGTCAAGGTAGACGGTTGTTGGACATACGTAATACACGTCTCAACCACCTCAGTCAGTGAAGATTTACAACCTGCATTTAGCACCATGCGTCTAGCTTCAACAGTACTCATTCAGCGGTTTCAACATACAGTAGTAATACTTTGAAAACACTTATGGTCAAATATTAGTATTTGAATGGTCAAAAAAGTGACAACTATCTACACAGATTCCATGTGTTAGGAATGATACAAAGCTGATAATATAGATTACATCCTCTAAGCAACAAGTACTTAAAACCCTTTAAAAAGGCGCAAATTTTAAGGATACTCTAAACCGTTCTACATTAAACTCAACAGATAAGTGGTATAGATTACCAACAACACAACAAGATTCCAGATATTAAAATTAATGCCAATTTTCGTAATTAATAAATAACTTTACATCTATACTGATTAAAATTCAATGTACACAATTAACGTGAATTAGTATATGATGAATTATCTAATTCTGAACAAAACAAAGTGCATCAGTTTTCAGTTACAAAACGTTTTAATAACTAAGTGTTTGAAATTCAGACAGATAATCATTTTGCCTACAAGTTCCTTCACATATTTTTAGAAAAAAAAAACAAAAAAAGTTTCTAAGTGCTTATCCTAGTCCGGTAACTAATTTTCCATTTAAAGAAGAACATACAAATATAAATACACGATAATATTCCAGTCAAAAAGTTTGAAATTTCAATACAGAAAAGCATTATCATTGACATTTGCTAAAATTCAATTTTATAAAATTCCAAATATTCTTAAAAAGAAATAAGAAGAGAATTTGTAGCTCATTTCACTTTATTGATCTTATCAACAATATGCATAAACGATTGGCATTTATTATTATTATTGGGACTATAGTACGGTACAATGAATGATTGAGTACAATAAATAAGTAAAAATAAGTCGGACGTTTTACTAAGAACAAAAATGATGTGAACATAAGTTGGTATATACATATAAATAAATATATAGAGAATATGTAAAGCATAAACACTATTTCCACTTAAGTTCTGCTTGTAAGGAATCATGAAGCTTCTCCTGATGATGTTGACTAGAAGGACAATCAAACTATCACAACTAGACTACCCAGTTAAGAGATGGCTACTTGACAAAAGTCATCCTACTGTGCCACAAATCTTCTCTACCATCTAAAAATTAACCTAATCACAGTAAGTTGGTAAAAGTGAAACCAAGTTCCAGTGTCTTTTATTTGTCGAGTTAGGTATATATGAGGCTAATAGATAATAATACATATAAATCTTCGGTATCAGTATGAATTTATATTTGTGCTTTCTATTAGATACTAATAAAACTATAGATTTTGGAATTATATTTCACTTTCTATACTTTAATCAGATCTACAGTAATGTATAGAAATAGTAATAAGGGTTACCAGTTCCCAGATTATTGGAGACTTCATTTAAATTTCCTGAGACTAAGTGAAATTATGAAATAAATCGCTCCACCTAACATTTAGATAACAACTAATAATTTCAAGTCTTTCTGTGCAAACTTTTAATAAGTATAATTACTATATCAGATGGCATTGAATTTTTCAAGGAGGATCATAAACCGAAATTCTCTGACTGTTTAGTTGAAAAACGACAAGACAACAATGTGACATCTAGCATTTCATAAAGCTAATACTTTCAAAGATTTATAAATCAACAAAGTAGCAGTGGTTACCAAACAACGCGTAAACAGAGTTAGCCATCTCGCTGCAGAATTAGAAGTAAAACACAGAACCGAAACAAGTTAAGTTCTCATTTTGAACAAACGATTATCCTAAATATTTTATAAGTAGAGAGATGAAATATGAGGGTAAGATGACAATGGAATATTATCCGAAAAGCTAAATAACCATCGTGACCATCTCTCATTATCAAGGGATATTAAAAGAAGTTGACATATTAACGTGAGTGTAGAACATTATCAATTACTGAACCTTAATACATTCAAAAGTAAATGGGTAGTACTCTATCTAAAAGATCCAAAAATTGATTTCGATGGAAATGTTCTCTAAAATATTTAAGTGCCAGATATAAAGGTAACAGTTATATTTTTTACTCACTCCCTGTATTATATATATGTATATACATATATAAACAATTCATTAGGAGAAACGTTTAAAGGATTTTATTTCAGACTGAGACCTGTATACATTCAGTTGGAATACACGCGTCAATGAGCTGACTGCAATACTTCTCTTTATTAAAGTGATAACACGGATTTTTCTAAAGATTGAGATAAGTTAAGTGTGAATATTAAACCAATTGGTTCATAGAATAACCACGATTTACTTTCTTAGAGATAAATAATTTTCTACGAAGACATCAAGACGATAGAAAGATTTTGTAATGTCATACAGTATAATAAAACTAAACAACTTGGTTGCTGTAAAATTATTCTGATTGTATGAATAATCAAACAAATACCTAGTACTAAAATTGATAAGCGAACTGTCGCATAAGTATTTCGAAATTCCCATGTTCACTATTTATTTGAGAAAAACTATATTTCTAAACAATTATCTAATTATCACTTTAACCTTGATATAATCAGATATAAGAATAGTCAATAAATATAACTGGAAATTGGTGTTTAGAAGATAGACGGATAAATTCGAAGGTGATTTCAGTACCAACCCACTACATTAACTGAAGAGCAACCAGAAAAAAATAAGTAATACTGATTACGGTTCTCACTATGTACTGATTTTAATCTGACCATAAAAAAAATTTTGTGAGTCCTCAGGAGCAAACAAGTGCGATTCTATTAGGAATCAGGACTTAGAATATGAGATTCCGTGGCAAATAAAATACCTTTGGACCATTAAAGTCAACATAAGAATGACCTACATATCCGAGTTTTGGTTAATGTGTTATCTGATTCCACAATATAACGTCTCCAAACTTAAGTATCAGTGTTTGGTAAATGAAGTAAGATATAACCAGAAACATTACCGGGAAACGTTATTCTTAAAAAAGCATCCCTATGTTGAAGTCTTGGTATATTTACCAATAAAACAACCAACCAAACTCTGTGCCACCACCACACATACATAACATCGCTGTCGATTAAACAATACCGCTACCAAAAATAAACACATGAAAGTCTACTCCACAAATACTTTTATTCAAAAACTATTGAAAATCTGTAAATACAATAATAATAACACGAAGCAATTGTCGAAATCATATCGCTGAAATATATTTGTCCATCAAAATTTTGGCAGACGAAATAAATACAGAAGAGAGGTAAAAGTGATACAGTGAACGTCGAATCGATCAAACTCTGAAACAAAAAGGGAAACAAGTGTTGTATATATACAGAACCTGCTTTTATAACACTGAGAAATTACAAGTAAATATATGGTCAACGTATGATAACTAAATTCTGGTGTTAGCCACGTTGATAGATGCAGACTACTTGGTTGGAGTTCGCGCAATTATAGTAAACAATGGTTGAAGACTCTGGGTGACATGGCTCAGAATCGATCACAATGGCGTTGGTGTATACACTCTTTGTCTTTCCTTAAACTATGAGATTAAAATCGTTTCATATCTTCTTTTCTACGAACTAATTCTTTCCCGTACTACGTCCTTAAATGCAATCATTTTTATATATATTACCACTATTCAATTAACTACTTTTATGAATTCGGTGTTCATCTTGTTGTGCTAATGAGGTATGGCAACCTGGACCGACGCATATATGTGCCTGGTCCTACGTTGTAGCTGACTGACTGACTATATGGGTGTAGATTTTGTGATGATGATTTTTAGGATGAACGGCTTGCTGGGCAGTAAAAGGTTGAAACAAAACTATAGTAAACCAGCGGTAATGTGGATACAAAGTTTTACTAATATCGGGGAAATATAGAAACCTAAAGGGTAAAACCTCGTTGAGTCCTTTAAGTAAAAAAATTGTATCTGTATGTTGATTTTAACACTCAAGTTTATGACTTTAAATACATTTATAGTGTAGTTTTTTTAACTTTTGGTCTAAGAAAATATATTAGTTGCATTACTGAACTTTTGATTTCCACATAAGTACAGACTGATATTTGCTTACAAACTCATCTGTTAAGCGTTGGAACCCCGAAAGCCACTGTAGCACAGCTCCAGTTCAAGTATACGTTAAACATTAATTGCATCACTATTGGTAAATGTTAGCTAACAAACTTATTTTACTAACAACCCTAGATTTATATCCTGGATTCCAAAAAGATAAACTTGCGCCGAATTCGGTTATTCGTTTTGATTATTATTTTGAAATTATAACCGTAGAACTTGGTGACAATTTCTTAAAACGAATACTATTCATTTATATATTGTATGGTGATATTCTAGGTAATCTGTGGATACTTACTTTTTAACAATTTGTACTACATCTTCATCGTGAAGTATATGATCTTTACCTACACGCTGTGGTTGATGTTTTACTGAAGAACCCCAAACAAAGGCACTAAAAAATACGTAAAATACTCAAAATTATGAGACATGTAATATTTGAAAACAAAATTATTTGTATTATTTGGCCAAAAGAAATGTTACATTTAAGCTAGCCAGACTAAACTAAATTATTCAGATAGAACAATAATGTCCTAATGGAATTATTCTAGAATATGAATGACAACTTCATTTTAAACTCAAAAATGATATTTCTAAAGGATATAATTACTATACTAACTTGGATTCTTAATAAAAAATTGTTTAACAACTAACTAAAAAACATAAATCTTTCATCCGAGATACTCCAGTATCGAGATTGAAATAAAAGAATTATGGTATTCAGTGAAATGTTGAGTTCCGATTAAAATTAACTTTCTTTTTAGAAAAATAAACTAACAGTTTTAGGCAGCTAAAAAACTCTTTCTAAGCAGATTGTTAAAATCTGGATTAAATCAAAAAATTAAATAACTGGCGCGAACAGATAGTGAAAGTCCATAAATTATAAGAATGCAACTCGTCAACTACTTGCATGTTCCTGAAGTAAGATATGATAGAAATATTTCCGCATGTGATAATATTGCCAACTGTTTCCATAATTCTTAAGTAGAATACAGTACAGGTTGGGAACTATGTACAATTGTATGAATGTATCAAGTTCACAATATTCAATAACATGTATTTATAATTAACAGTAAAATAAATTTACAATGGTAAGTTGTTGGAGCAAGCCGAAAGGTTATGATGATTCTATTTCATCCAAAAAGGGTTAACTCGTAGAAATTTTGAATAAGAATAATAGAATTCGGTGAAGAAAATTTTCTTTTCGATGAAATCATTTACTTAAGCTGTACATTCGTATATATAGTTATATGGAAAAAATATATATATGGCATAAATTTGATATAAGATGTTGACTAAAAATTATTTAGAGCTTTTTAATAAAGATGAATGAAGTAGGCTAAGTTTATATAATTCTGTCTGATTGCTAAGATTAAATAGCTTGCAATTAAAAGATAGAGGTGCATTATTCAGGTTTATATCGAGCAAAAAAGTCTTGAAATATAATGGACATGGAATCTTACAAGTTAAGTGGAGCGACCCAATCGCTAAGATAAGCAACATGACAACACAGACTACTATAAATGATGGGTACTTTGGAGAAATCCTGAAGGACACAATATTTACTTAACGTGTTTATTGTCCCTTATTGATAAATAAAACTTGAAACTGTTCAAAATGACTAGATCCCGAACTACTGAGCCCCGGAGTCAGGTATTCGGAGATCAAACTATTTTAAGTTATCAAACACGACATCATATTTCAATAGCCCATACAGAAATAGCATACAGAATTTTATGTATTTTGATAAAACCACAGATTTTTGATAAATTCAAAGGATATGAAGTGACGGTAAAATTGGTCTGTTCTTAATGGTTTCTTCTTGATAGAGATTTATTGGAAATTTCAAATGTAACTTCCTATTTGTTACAAATTTACTAATGAATGGTAAAAATATGTCGAAGAGTTTGATAATAATACATAATTTGGAAAAACAGCTACTGAACGCTTTGTTTGTTCAGAAAATCCAAGTTAGGTGTGGATACTACATAAAAATAATGTTATACTGAGCACTATTTATATGTCACGAAAGAGCGCTTTATCAGTACAAAACACTAGCAACTAAATATGAAGTAAATATGAAAAATGAAATTTTGTGTAAATAAATATGGGATAAAATTCTAAATTTCGCACTGCCTACTCATCAGTAAACCAAAAATGGGAGGAGATTAATGTTCAAACAGCCGAAAACATTATCACATATTTAAACTAGGTAAAATAAGTGGTGCATTGTAATTAATGACTCCTTAACATATGGTTAATTAACGATAACTATAAGCATAAATCTGGCTCTGAAACCTGTAAAGAATGGTCAAAGTAGAAATAGTATGCGAATTTGATTCGGATACTAGTTACCACGCAAATGGATCTTATGGCACTGCACCAGGTCTTTGTTGACTGGATTTATGGACCAGAAATTTTGGAAGCGGTCAAATGGGCAAAATGCTCTGAAGTCTATGAACTCGCAGAATATCTAAGTTCTATCACCAACCATAAAAATCAATAATGACAAAAGTGATTATGAACTATTAGTCTGCAAGGCAAGTAAGTTTATTCTAAACTAATTTGTCTATCTTACCTAACTTTTTCTATGAGATTTATACTTCTCATTAACTTCTCTTTAAGCTCTAGCTTACTCTATAGTTCGTCGTTGTCAAAGGTGTCATGCTATTTAAACATTCTTACGTTGAATACTAAGGGTTTACAGCATTTATTTTATAAAATTAAAAAGTATTAGGACTAAAGAGAATGTACAGAACTATTTCACTTCATCATCTGATAAACCGTGTTTAACGACTGTTCTGATATAAAACTTTTCAGAAGTGACCAGAGCATTTAAACAAAAATTTGTTAAATCTTACAAATGTTAACTGAACTTACTACTTGAATTCCTTGATTAAAGTCTTGTGCAATTTATTGCAAAAGTCCTCAACAGTATGCGAAGCAGATCTCAAAATAACCGGAGCGTTGTAATCAGGCAACTGCCCTTTGGGTTTTGTGTAAATTCTTATCAAGTTTAAATACTCCCATATTAGCTCAAGCAGATCATCAAAATTCCATTTGTGATGAGCTGAAATGGGCACACAATGAGGAACACGACAAATGATATCTAACTCCTAACAAAATCCGAACAATTACATGACTCGTTTCATACCTCAATGGTAATCTGATCAATTTTGTTGAGAACATATATACACGGAATATAAACACGACTTCCTTCAATCACATCAATTAGATCTTCAGCAGTTGCATCGCATCTAAGTGAGACATCTGCATTGTGTATTTTATATTCGCTTAAAATAGTTTTTATTACTTCTTTATCTAATTCAGATTGAGGGACCTGCAAACGTCATTTTTAGCAAAATAGAATGAGGAAAACTTACTAAACTTTGAATATTCAGACCTCCTTTTTCTTTACGGCGTAATGTAATGTTAGGAGGACTTTTGTTTAATCTGATACCAAATCCCTCTAATTCGTTTTCTAAAAGTTTTTTGTGTTGTAAAGGCTTAAGGACATCTAGCACCATGAGAATGAGAGTGCACGTTCGGGCAACTATCCGTAAAAATTTACTGACGTCTCTTGCAAACATGACTTACCAGCTATCACCTGTTTTCCTCTACCCTTTCCATCTTTGGCACCTTCTATAATACCGGGTAGATCAAGTAGTTGAATTTTAGCTCCTTTGTATCTAATAACGCCTGGCACAGTGGTAAGGGTTGTGAACTCATAGGCAGCCACTTCAGAATAGACACCGGCCAAATTGCACAGAAGTGTTGACTTTCCGACTGATGGGAAACCCACAAAGCCGATACGTGCATCTCCCGTTTTAGCAACATCAAAACCTTCTCCACCTCCGCCAGTACCACCTTTGGGTTCAATAAGTTCTCGTCTAAGTTTAGCCAACCGAGCCTTTAATAATCCTAAATGACCCATGGTATTTTTGTTTTTCTGTGTCCTAGCCATCTATGAACGGAAATTGAGCATAAGAAAACAGGCTGTGAAAATGAATCCATAACATTTAAGTTCACCAAAGAATCTTTATTCATGCAGTACAGTTAATAGAGAAAACTACATAGACGTTTGAAAAACTGGCAGTTTGGAGGTAGACTAATAAGATAATTTAGTTATCGAGGACTGTTGGATTAAAAGATTAAGTATTCAACTTCTATCCACTAGGTTACGGATAGGCAACCAACTATGTTTGATCAATTTGATAATTCAAGTATGCAAGCCTGTATTTGGATTATATTTTGTCGCATCTTATTCTCATAAAAAACCTTGAAACGAGAAAATTACTATATGATAACAGGTGGTACTATGATGAGTAAAATATATCGGCATTTTAATCTATTATAATGTAGCTGATAATTCACCACAATTACCTGGGCCTGTTAAAGTGAAAGTATCATTACTTTTGACAAATAAAACCAAAACGCTAGAACTTAAGGCATTTTTATGAAATTTCGAAAGTTTAGTGATATACAAACATTTTTATGACATACCGAAGATTACATTCGCGAACAGTATTTCTCACTTGATTACTAGCTCTATCTGGATTGAATGGTTATCACTCCGGTTTAACCTCATACATTTTCTCAAACTTACTTCATTGTGTAATCAGATTTACTTGACAACGAGATGTTGAAAGTCAGATGCCAACAGTATTTAAAATATGAATAGCTATATTTTAGCCATACACACCAGACTCAGTCAGTCAATAACAACGTAGAACTTCGCGCGTACGTACATCAGTTCGAGTTGCCATACAACATTAGCACAGAGATACAGTTGTCGATTCAAATCCCGTAGTGGTAGAGGTAGTAAAAGTATAAGCAGTAATCGGAAACATTAGGGTTCGAAGATGTTACTCAAGGAGTATAATCCAGTGAAATAAATTTGGAAAGGGGAAAAAACGGGACATGAAGAATTCAGAAGATTAGAATTTGCAAGAACACAAAGAGTGGATGCACTTGAGCCATTACAAACGATTTTGAGCCATGTCATTCAGGGTCTCTAACCATCGTTTGCTATCATCTCGCAGATCTCAACCAGGTAGTCTGCACCTACCAACATGGCCCAGTCCACTTGTCAGTTACTTCATGGATTTGTGCCATGTTTTGGTCTGGCCGCATCTAGCTTTCTTCCGACCTACTCCTACACCATAAAACATCCCACGTCGGAGAGTCGGTGGCTGGGCATACGTAACATGTGTCCCAGCCATATTAACTGATGAAGTTTCACTACTTCACCAATTGATTTGTCATCCTTACCTAGTAATCGTTTCCTAACAACTGCATTACTTACTCGGTAGTTCCAGGACATAAGAGCAATGCTTCGAAGACACCTCTGATTCAATGCTAGTAACCTACGAATATCCTCTACTCTTACCGGCCATGTTTCACTGCCATAAAGTAGGACAGAACGAACTGATTCACAGTAAACTCGTCCTTTGGTTGGTAGACGGATATCTCGCCTACGCCATAAATGACGCAAGTTGGCAAACGCTAGTCGGGTCTTCTGTATCCTTTTGAAAGAAGCAAGAACAAAGATTCTAGCAGAATAACATGAATTCATTTTATTTCGTAGGTTCCCGTCAGCTGCTTACAACCTACGAAATAAAATGAATTCGTTATTCTGCTAGAATCTTTGTTTTTGCTCTTTTCAAAATGATAAAGGGAACTATGTGTATGAAATCTTCTGTATCCGTACTGAGAATTCGTCACACACCAGACCACAAGGGATGATGAGACTTCCAAAATAAGTGAAGCAGTCGACACGCTCAACTACTTCACACAAACTACATGTAAGGGATACATAGTTTGCAAGTAAGAAGTGTGATTTATGCTGAAGTAATTTGATCGATTCAGAAGTTAATAACTCAGAGTGATTGGAGCATAGATTCCATTTTGTTGTCAAAATCAATGCACGAGTTGGTGTTTCAGTTTACATAGTTTAAGAATAATATGGTCATAAATGAGAGTAAGTGAAAGTATGATTTGTGGACGACCACGAAGCGATACTAAAGTGACCCTGAGAATGTCAACCAACTTACTATGGTTGATTAGAGGTTCTGGATTGGCGTAAGGAATTACAATTAGGATCTACAGTTAGATGTTATGGTTAGGAACAAGGGTCAGGGTTCACATCACAAACTGACACCTGCTATAATGGCGAAATACCATTTACCCACATTGATAAATAAATTTGGTGTCGATATTAACAAACTCCCATCATAGCCGTAACTGGTTTATCCATGAATTATAGTTTCGCCTGAAAATTTAGGTCATACGTATGTAAAATTGTGATACAAGTAGAAGTAAATGATTATTCGTCAAAACAGTGAGTAGAGTTGTAAATTATATACTAATACTGAGGAACTAAGCCCAAAAACGTTTGGAAAAGAACGGCGCTGAGTGGAAGAGCCGACGTAAAAAAATGAGTTACTCTGAAGGTTACAGTGATCTATAGTATTTATGTTGAATCATTGCACTTAACAAAACTATTTTGTAAGATTAGTTTAAGTATACGAGATATGCCAAGAACGTATTTATTTATTTCAACTGGTATGGGCCCTAAATTCCCTTGCGAATAAAAGCTCTCTATTGACGCGAGCTTACATAAGTTATTAAGTACGCGGACAAACACATCTCTAAGTACAGGTCTCTTGAATAACTCTTAAGTTTTAAAGCAAGATTTATCTTGAAATGAACAAACAGAGAAACGATACATGGTAGCAATATAATGCGAATCGCTGCTACCTAACGAAATATAATTCACTAGATAATATCGAAGCCAGACCCAACTTTTAGCAGCAATAAAACTCTTAGGTAGTAGGTGATAAAACATTGATTGACTATAAGATGCAAAACATGACACGTCAAAATGAAATCAATATAACTTAGAAAACGCCCAAAAGATAAGTACACAAACAGCTTTATGACAAAGTTACCTCTGCTTCTATTTCGGCTATTTTCTGTAGGATGCTCATTTCCACGAAGTTGCCTGACCTTACAATTTACAAAGATCGGCAAGGTTGACCTACAATGCACTTTCAAATAAGAACGGCCGAATTCAGCTTTATTTAAACTTACGAAACCTAGAAGTGTAAAAGACCTGTTTAAGTCTCATGGATAGTTATCTTTATTTCGAATAATTTTATAATGGGTCTACTGAATGATCTGTAACAATGTGTTGAAGTGAACTGCTCCTTTTGTTGAGAATTCTTTTTCATATTTATCAGTTTAATAAAGATAACTAACCGTTCTCGTGTGAATTTTTCCGGTTTGATGGACGTTGTTATTCAAGCTCAAAGTATCAGAATTCCTCATTAAGCTAATCAAATTCAACAATATCCCCTAAGAAAAAGCATCTGCCACAAAAATATCATGCAGTTCTTCCGATTACTTATACATAGTCTCCTGTAGAGTTTAGAATGTGACAAGTGACTCTGCCACATATAGTTACTTCATACATTTCTTTCCCATGGGATGGATTTTACCTAATAATTAAAGGTTTCCTATCTTTTGAGGAATCCTAAAATATCGTCCCTGAAACTTTTCCACCCTCTACTTAGAATCGAACTCTCTCAATCCGTAGAATCAGTCACCAGTTGCATTATATCAACGCTTTAACTTGCAAAACTCGGCTATTGTCCATATAACATACTTTTACTGCTGGAACTGATCTACTGTAAAGTTAACTGGGAATAATAAGTTGTTTAACTAAAGTACTCTTCTGCGGAAGGTATATAATCCACTGGATCCTTTCTCTACCAAACTTCGGTTATGTATCGTGCACCCCTGATCAGTTAATAAGGTTCCGAGAAAGGATGGAGTCTCACATGAAGACAAGCTTAGAAAACTTAACTGGTATGCAAAATGATATGGCCAAGCTGTCTCACGTTCTATCCCAAACCCAATATCTAATTTACCCAAAGTGGTAATTATAGGTTTGAGATACCTTGAGCAATTCTGTATCAGATGATCAGTTATGGATAGCTGGACTATTTTTAATCTGCGATAGCAGGTTGTATGGTACGTTCTCTCCCGGAGCACAAATTTTAGTGCAGTACACAACATCAACCTCAGGCCTGCAATCAGTGTTCCATGTGGCTGAGTATCCTGTGCGTATGAGTGTGTGCTCACTGCCATCTGCCTACGTGCCGTGAACACTAGTATAGTGTGATGACCGGACAAACGATTTAATCAACTCGATACTCGCGCGCTATTCAAAAAGGACAGTGTTATTTTACCTCTGAGTAATTTTCATAGTATTGATTGTTAAATTACGCATCAAAACTACTGTTTTTGCTTTGACTGAATTTTTTCAGTTAAAGTAATCCCCAAGACTACCGCTTCTTCTTCAGTGAAGTTTATCATCTTTACGAGTGCTTAGTCTTCGTCATTGAATATATCTCTGAGCGTTGTTTGTATCCATAGGTGTTAAGTTCTTTCTGCAGCTACTAAAGTCCGATTTCTTATTTTTTTTTCATTTTATTTATATATAAACATGATACAAATCTATGGCACAACTGAAACATTGTTGTGGTAGACCAGCATGCTATTTCTTCGTCGATGGGGGGACGCAATGTGATAACCGCAATAAGTGGCATCGCATTATGTGCTCCGGACTCACACCAGCTGCATATAAACGATGCTGCAAACCGTTATCATGTTGGTTTTGTAAAGAATGTTGTTCGACTAAGTCTCTGCTGATTCTATAGGCGATCGAGCTGCTAAACAAAACAAGAAATTACCCTCTGATAAACAGGCAGCAGAAGATGAACAGAACTTTGCTTTCGAGGAAATTAAGAGCGTTATTATAAGCCCGGCTCTAGACTTTAATGAGACCATAAAGGTGAATCTCATCAGGGAAGCAAATAAGCATATGTATGAAGGCATTGTTACAAGGAGAAAGAAGTGCGCAGAGAAGAAGAAACTATCTATGTGAATCTGTGTGTTCATTTCACATATCAATGTGATACAAAGTATAGGGGAGCCAAGTCTGAGCAGTGTAGAGGAAGTGAGCAAGAGACAAAATAAGGCAAATGAGTGGCTCACAGTCACACCTAGGAAGAGCAGAGTAAGAAAACAGAATGCAACCTCAGCGCTTGACGCCAAATTGAAATCGGATTGCAGGGAAGAGACAGTTTCAGGAAATAAAACTCCACGGCGTGTCAAAACGGACATCACTGAAAGGTTAATCTTTTTTCATAAGTTAAGAGAATCTTCTGATAAGGAACCAAAGGCTGGATTGGAGCACGACCTCATTCATGACAATTCCTTGATAAGCAAGCTACTCCCGAAACAGCTCGAAGAGTTAGCATTAGTAGTCTTTATAAGGTAGGACAAAAGGCAGATCCTGAAATTCCTCAGAAAATCCGCCTTTTGAAGGTTACCTTTGCTACGGTTGACGAAAGAAACCTGACACTAGGTAACTCACGTAAACTGAGTGTATCCGGAATATATGTCCGTAAGGATCTCAGCCTAGCTGATCGTATTAAGAGACGAGATGCGGGAGTGGAAATAAATGAGCGCCGCCGAAATGGTGAAAGAAACCCCGTTCTTAAGGGTCTTCAAATTGTAAAAGTTCGGATCGAAACGATCCCCAAACCACTCTGGGTGGAAATGTAAAGTTCTCCACAAGATTAAAAGTGTGCTACACAAATGCTCGCAACCTACTAAATGAAATGGCGGAGCTCAAGACAACGGTGGATAATGAAAAACGGATGTTATTGCCGTCTCAGAAACATGGTTGGCATCAGAAGTATTAGATAATGAAATTCAGTTGACTGGTTTTTTATCCAGTAGGGCTGATAGATTAAACTGTAGGGGGGGTGGGGTTATCATGTACACGCAAACTACCCTAACCTTACGAGCAGTTGAAACAGTGGCACACTATTCAGGGACATGTGAACTGATGCGATGCAAGCTGAAATGCAGACGACAAGATACTGAATTAGTTGCAAAATATCGCAGTCCAGAATGTGTAGTAGGTGATTTCCTCCTAAGCAAACTTAAGTCCTGGTGTAATGGGGGTAAAAGCCTTATAGTAGGCGACTTTAATGCACCGTATATAAACTGGGTTAATTTAGAGGTACGGTCATCGATAACGTCATTCGACTGAAAACTGTTAGAAACATCGACTGCATTAGCTTCATTCTAACACATTAGAAATCCCACAAGATATGACTTAAAAAGCCCCTCTTCTCTTTTGAATTTAGTCTTCTCACACGGTGATGACGTCGGACAAATGAATTTTCCCACAACATTAGAGAGAAGTGACCATGCAGTCATATTATTCAAATTCATGGCCGAGATTGTCTGTCAAACAGTTGCGCCGGCCTAAGATATGAAAGGCAGATATGGAGTCAGTCAACTCCGCAGCATCGGCTGAAAACTGGTAAATTGACTCAAAGGTTTCAACAGAAGAGTTATGGAATTATTTCAGGCACTTGTAAAATCGGGTAACTCAACCATTCATACCCTGGACAGTCCCAATGAAGAAACACGGCCATCCCTGAATAGGCCATGATATTCGGCGTTTACTAAGACAAAGGAAGAAATGTTGGGATGCTGCTATCAGAATTGGCACAGCAGGTACGACGGGACGCCAGAGATTGGTAGGAAACATGTGTATAAATAAAATTCGGGAAGCTCAAAGAACATATGAAATGCAGTTAGCACAATATGCAGTCAAGCAACCTGAGAGAATATTCTCGTACGCAAACTACAAAACAAGGATGTATTATTGGATTCCCAACCTAATTAAAGAAGGATGTGAATCCAAAATGAAAGAGGAAGATCAGGATAAAGCAGAGGCTATAGCTGGTTATTTCGGGGCAGTTTTCACTCAGAAACCTCCGCTAGACAGAGAACCAGACCCAGATACAGAGCCAACAAACCACCTGCTCACCGTGAACTTCGATGAAGATGATGTGCTTAACACTCTTAACACCTTAGACATGGAAAAGTCAACAGAGCCAGATGGACTACACCCCAAAATCTTGAGACATATTGCACAGTGTATAGCGGCTTCAGTGACTGTGATATTTAACGTGTCGGCTGACCGAGGTGTGTTACCTATGGACTGAAAGGACGCGATCGTCACTCCCAGACATAAAACAGGACCAAGACAATATCCATCGAACTACAGACCTGTAAGCCACACCAGTGTTGTAGTTAAAATATTGGTAAAAATAGTCAAAAAGACCACTTTTATTTGATTATCATAGAATTTTTTAAATTACTGTTTTGTATTTTAAACTCTAATCAGTTATTATTATTGCCTTATACAAGTTTTCCTGATTATTATTCAGTCTATTATTATGACCTTTGTGTTTGTCGCCTTTCTTCATATCTATCGATTAGACTATTACCTGGCCCATAAATTATTTTCTTCCTTACCCCTTGATTAGTACGTACCCTCATTTGTTATTTATTCTCGAATCCATTTTTGTGATGCAATATTCACTATTCTCCTATAGACATATATTTTCCATATAACAATATATATGAATATACAGTTTAAGTAAATAATGTTGTCGAGAAGAAAATTTTCTTCGCTGAATTCTCCTTTTTTATTCAATGACACTGCGGGTTATTTTAATCAACATAATGACATTTGTGGAGACCAATAACGTGTTAAACAGCGAACATGGTTTTAGAAATGGTTTATCTTGTACAACGAGCCTACTTATAGCAAGGGAATATTGGATAAAGGCGTAAGACGACGGAAACTCAGTCGATATTGTCTACATAGATTTTATCAAGGCTTTTGACAAGGTGCCAACAAATAGACCGCTATTGAAGTTATAAAATCTTGATATTGCCGGACCTCTCTTAAAATGGCATAAAGATTTTTTAGTAGGTTGTAGACAGGAAGTGAGGATAAATTCCAAGTACTCCATCTGGAGACCAGTGGTGAGTGGGTTACCTCAAGGTTCCGTTCTATGTCCCTTATTTTTTATACTGCATGCAACTAACCTCCCAAGTATAATACAGTCCCGAATGTTATTATACTCTGACGATGTAAAAATCTGGCGAGTAATAACCGGAGACACAGACGCATGCGCAAGCGCACTTTTGGCGGACTTAGGTAATGTGGTTAACTGGTCTTAAGAGTGGCTGCTGCCTATCAATGCA